GGTCCCATGGAATCCCTGGGACCTCCGGATATGACTCCACATTATCCCCAGAGGCCCCAAAGCAGTTCTCACGACGGCCCCAGTCGCCCAGAGATGGCTATACGTAGCTCCGAGAAGGTTACGCACACGGCTCCAAGAGGGGCACATCGTTAAACATCTATTCGGTATTTTCCATTTTGCGGATCCGGGTGGCTCCAAGGCTCCAAGGAAGGTTCCAGGATGCCTACGAGAGCTTGCGAATTTGCCACAAGAGCCCTGCTATTTTGACATCCCACCAAGGGGTCCCCCGGCCTCCAAGATAGTCCGAAGACGGCCCGATACCGCTCCAAGATGGCCCCAAGGCATTTCAGAAGGCCGCAAGTTGCCCCCAAGAGGGCTTCATGGTCGACCCATGAGGAAGCCAAGTGTTCGGCCACACGCGTGTCGAGGCCAGTCGGAGATTCGTGCTGACCGCTCCTCCAGCATCCATCCTCTCTCCGGGCCCCACTCTCCTCGCCCATTGCTCCGCTCTTATCGCCCTTTCTTCTTTGCTCCTCGCCCCCCTCGTCTTACTCCTTGTTGTTCGGTCCTCTCTCTATTGATCCCATCGCATCCCATTCTTGGCTACGCGTAACTCACTGCCCCCTTCTCCTTCCGCCGCTTCTGCCTTCTCGCTCCTAGCCCCTCGCTCCTCTGCCGATGGTCCGCCCCTTCTCGCTCCCCTTTCCCAGCGCTTTCCTTGATCCTGGCCTCTCGCTCATTAGTCCTCTCACGAGCAGCAAGCTGCGTCAGCGAGCAGAAGTCGCGAGAAGCAGCACCATGCAACATCAAGCATCAACCACGACTGTCAGCAATACGTACCACGAGGCCAGCAGCAGCAGCGGCGCATGGCAGCAGCAGGCAGCAGCATGACGCCAGTGTCCAGTAGCCTGCAGCAAACATAACTGGCAACCAGCAGCAGTCTGCAGCCATCAATAGCAACTGCGAGCGGCAGCAGCACGTGCTACCAACAGCCCGCGATAGCGAGAGCATGCAGCAGCAATCAGTAGCACACGAACGTCATTAACCAGCAGCAAGCAGCACGCGCCAATCCGAATGAAGCAGCAGCACGCAGCGTCCAATATGAGCCCGCAGTGGCGATGACTACGTAGCAGCGTGGATTTAAACAGATGTAGCAAACAGTACGTGGCATCATCAGATGATGACAATTCGGCAGCGTGCAGACAGACAGGGAACGTTTGAACTATAATGCAATCAGTCGACCCGTCCAGAACAGATCAGGCCACCAGGATAGACACCGCACAATCAGGACAGCAGGCGAGCTGACAAGCAGGCAAGCGATGGTGGACGGTCGTCCACAGGTCATCCCTAGTCATCTGCACCACAATTACTATCAAGCGCGTCCCAGAGAGTGGGCTCAGTGGCGATGGCACGGGGCCCCAGACTCGCTCCAGAGCCCGCTCCAGCGGCCGCTGGCCAGCCCGGTGCCCACCGAGGTTCCCGAAGAGGCCCTTTTTGTTTCCTAGGTAGGCTCGAGGCGTCTTGATGTGTGAGTGTGTGTGTGTGTGTGTGTGAAACTTCGTCCACGTGCCAGCGCACGCTTAGCTCTGGGCACTTCCTGTGGTGCATCTTGCTGTGATCTTCACCAGTCATGCAGCCAAGGGTCTGACATGCCCCTTCTTGGAGGCCTGCCGGCACAGCCCAGGGAAGCTAAAGGAGGCCTGCTGATCGTCCGCGAAGGGTTCCCACTAGGCCAAAATTGTCAAATCTCACATTGGTTTTCGAATCTTGTCTAAGAGGTCTCCGCATGACGACCCCGAGGGGGCCCCAGAGGAACAAACGAGACTCAATAAGGGTTCCGAAAAGTGCCGCACCATAGCTCTCGGCTCGCATCCAAGGCGGCCTCAACGCAGCCCCAGGCCGCTCCGGCAGTCACCCGAGAGCTCCCCACCCCAGGTCGCCCCCTCATGGCCTCAGGCCGTCCCAACACAGGACCCACACACACCCCAGAACTGCAACTTCGGCCCCAGATGCCATGACCTCGAGCTGGCCTCTGTGGGGCACGATGGCCCCCAAGAAGCCAATTCTGGGCGACGGAGGCGCCCAGCAGCCACTTTGGGACTTCCTCACCAGCACAGGCACCGTTCCCTGTTTCTGGAACCTCCCAACTCCAATCTTCGTTCTGTTTCCTCATCCTCCCCCTACTCCCGTTCCGCCCCCTCGTCCTCCTCCCCTTCTTCCTCTTCCTGGCGGACACCACCGACACTTCTGCCTGTTTCTGCGCCCCCGCTAGCTCTTCTCCATGCTGCTGCCTATGCCCTTGCAGCTGTGGGTATTCCACGGGTTCGCACTAGTTAGTTACTCCGCTGGGATGAGCGCGTGCGAGAAGGGTCGCCAGTGGCAGCGGGCATTGGCGCTGCTCAGCGAGATGCGGGAGGTGAAGCTGGAGCCCAACGACGTCATCTTTTCAGTTCTGGGACACGTGCGTGCATGGAGGGTCTCGGCCAAGTGGCGACGACCTCAACACCGTCCGAGTGTCCGCGTGGCCCCCAAGACGCCCCCAGAGGTCTCATAGACGCCCACCTGCGAGACCCCCAATTGACCCCACGAGGCCCCCGAGAGGTCCGCAATAGGCTTCATAGGCACAAAAGAGGATCCCAGTACGCAAAACGGGCGCACCCACGAGGCTCCTCAGAGACTTCCCCCCCTCAGGCATCTGAAGGCTCCGTAGAGGCTCGTGGAAGCGGCCGCAAACGGTCCAACTGTTCCGCGGAGGCCTGCACGATGGCCCATTTTGCTTCCCAGACGCCCCAGTGCCCTTCCAGGCACGCAGCATCAACCAGCGACAATCAGCAGCTTGCAGCACCGCCAAGCCCCACCAAGCAACACCACGCCGCGGCCAACAACAGGCCGTCGAGACGAGAGAAAACACATTATCAGTAGAACGATGCTGCAACCAGCGCCAAGCATCAGCGAGCGGCAGGAAGCTATGGGGCGCGGACGGGCAACTAATGCATCAACACCCAGAAAGCGGGCGAGTCGGCCAAGAGCTAGCAGCTCACCAGCCTGGAAGCCCTCACAGGGGGCTTCCAGGCTGGTGAAGCGTGCACCGAAGTCGCCCTGGCACGGGGATAGCGTGCACAGACGAGGCCCTCGCAGGGGGATCGCGTGCGCAGAAGGGGCCCTCGCGGGGGGACCTCTTCACAGGGATAGCGCGCCTCTCGGAGATCGATGTGGCACGCCATCGTTGCGACGCCAACGGTAGCCACCACGACGTCGCGACAGCATGCGGGCAGACCAGCAGGCTTGCGATCCTCACCCGTCCACGCAGGCCCCCCCCGCGGCTGCTCTTGTGCTCCCAGTTTCGCTCTTCCAGGCCCACCACGTCTCGCCCCTCTTTCATCGCCCGTTGATCTTCCCGCCGCTGGTGCCTCTTTCCTGCGTCCTCGCTTGTCAATCGTGGCCTCTCGTCCATTCCTTCGAGGAGCAAGTTAAGGCATAAACATCAACTTTCGGAGATGGGCGTGGCTTTCTTGGATCGGCGGTTGGCCCCCGTTGTGGCGCCTCCAGCGCCAGCCTTGGTTCGCTCCGCGCGCCATGGAGAGGGGTCCAGCACAGATCCAAGAAATCCGCGCGGACCGTCGAAAGATTATATTTATGCACATGTTCCTGTCTCTCGACTCGTTCATGTATCCTCCCTCCTCGCATCTGCCCTCTGTCAGCCCGCCTGAAGCACACCGGGAAGCCCCGCAGCGGCTACGCACTCCCTCCCCACTAGTCCCTCCTCGGTCCTCCCTGCTCGCTCCTTGCTCGTTTCTTTCTCTTGCTTCTCAGGCCACGGGACCGACGTCATTGTTAACGATTTTCGACAGCGTTTCCGACATCATACATGCCACTTCTGACAGATTTCGAGGACGGTACAGTCCCCTGATTGGCAGGTCGACCACGCTAAATCGAGGGTACCCTTGTGTCCTGTCCATCCCGACCTATGCAACCCGCATGTCCTTGGGTGCTCTGGGGCCACGTTGCCGTCGGAGAGTCTTGTACCCTCTCGGGTGTCCTGTCCATTCAAGTCCGACTGTAGTCCACGGTTCATCCTGTCAGCTATGGGACACGAGCGTGCAGGAAGGGCTTCTGGGCCAAGGGATTCCTTGGGCTCATCTGGGGCTGTCCCTGGCGGCTTCGGCGCTGCCCGCGGGTCCCTGCCGGGCCCTATCGGCGTCACCCCAATCTTTTGATACTATGTGTGCGTGGCCCCTCTCGGGTCGACGCGCGCACCGATACATCTTGTCGTGGCGGGCGTTTTCTGGCCACACCGCTCGGTAAACAATATACTACAAGATGGGTGTACCAGATGTTCGGGTCGGACGCGCGCCTCCTATGCGGGTGTATCGTTTTAGTACGTCTCTGTGCGTCCCTCCCTATGGCACCCCAAGGCGCCGCAGAGGGGTCCCACAACAGCGGGGGACTGCCTCCCACAGTGCCCGAACTTGCCCGAGTTGTCTCCCAAAGCTGCCCGACGGGGCCCCCGATAGGCCACACGCGGCTCCAAGGGGCCGCGAAGAGGCCCTCAGACGCCCCCAGAGGCCTCTCGGAAGCCATCCAGCAGACCACGGGAAGTTCAAAACCTTCAAAGCCAGATCGGGAATCATGAATTGTTTCGCTTCTCAGGCTCGTCGACGCGAGACAGCTCCAAGACCTCCTCGGAGGAGACTCTTGCTGGCCGCCTAGGGGTTCTCTTGGGGCCCCCTCGGGGCCTCTTGCGTTGTATTCGGTGCCTCCTGGGGCCGTCTGGTGGGCTGTCTCAGAGTACCCCAGGCGGCCACAAGAAGGTCCCAGAGGGCTCACGGCCCGACACGCTCTTCAGGGAGCCCCACGACAGAGTCCCCCAGCACGGCCTCCAGCTCGTGCAGATTCAGCGGACGGTAGTCCACAGATCAGGCTTAGTGAGCTATAACGCAGGGATCGGCGCGTGCGGGGAAGGTTTGCAGTGGCAACGGGCTGTGGCACTGCTCCGAGAGATGGCGGAAGCGATGTTGGAGACGGACAGCATCAGCTACAATGGTGGGATCGTCGCGTGCGGAAAGTGCGGGCATTGGCAGCGGGCTTTGGCACTCTTCAGCGAGATGTCGGAGGTGCAATTGGATCCCAGCGCCATCTGCTACAGTTCTGTGATCAACGCATGCGAGCCAGGAGAACAGTGGCAGCAGGCTCTTTCGTTCCTTGGGGAAACGCGCTGGAGGAAATTGGATGTGAATGTCCATGCGTACGGAATTGTAGCCTGCATGTGCGAGCAAAGCGGTCAGCGGAAGCAGGCGTTGTCGTCGCTCAGGGCGTTGAGCGAGATTGTAACGGAGTAAACAGGTCAACGAGTCGAAGGAGGCGGCGGACCATGTCGCGATTCGACAATATCTATGAGGCGAGGTTGGACCCGAATTGCACTCATCAGTGCAATCCCTCCTGGCGCTAGCGAGAATGGCGAGCAGTGACAGCTTGGTTTGGCGCTGCTCAGCGAGATGTCGAGGCGAAACTGGAGCCCAACGTCATCGGTATTACAAGTTCAGTCAAATTGCGTCCCAGAGGGGGGTCAGTGGCGGTTGCGCCAAGGCAGCTCCAGGCCGCTCCCGCAGGCAGTCTTCCGAGAACCCTTCCGAGAACCCCCTCACGGCCCCAGGCCGTCCCAATACACGATCCACTGATTGGCCTGTCTGATGCCTTCGGAAGCCGTCTCGGGAGCCTTTCTGGGCTGTATTGGGGCCCTTCTGAGGCGCTTTGAAGCCGTGCTGTAGGTCTCGTGGGCAGTCGAGTCTGGCCCTCTTAGGGCCGTCTCGAGGGCCTCTTGGGCTGTCGGATGCAAGCCAGACAAAGTTGGACCGCGAAGAACATCGAAGGCACGATGGGGTATCAATGAGGTCGGCTTCTTCGGGCCCGCCTAGAGGGTCTCTTGGAGTGATCTTAGGCTGCCTCGGGGGCATCTTGGGCCGTTCTGAGGCAACCTGGAGCTGTATTCGATGTGTCTTGGACCAGCTTGCAGGCATCTTGAGGCCATCTTGGATCCTCTTAGTTGTCTTTGCGCGCCGTCTGGAGGCCAAGCAGAGCGCCGAAAGGCAGCCTCTGCGGGGGGGGGGGGGACCGGACACCATTTGCGGGGAGCGGATGGGATCGGCCCAGGAAAACATTGACGAGACTTTCCCAGTAGCAGAGGAACGTTCTAACATTTCCCACCGTGCCCAAGGCACGATGGTGGATATAGGACCCTTGCTGACAAGTTGTTTAGGGGAACACTTACACACATGCCGCACTTACTGGAGCAGCGTCAGCGCGGGACGGGCCCCTCAAAGTCGCCACCTCGCCTTTTCCGAATAGTGGCCTGCGTGTATGTTGCACGCTCCGCTGACATGCCCCCTCACATCAACGCACCATACCTTCATTCCCTTGCCCGTCCCGCCGCACCTGTGCCGTCGCCAGGCAGATCCGTGCTTAGAGATGTGACAGCAGAAGGGCGAGATTTGGCAGCAGAAGGGCGACATGTTCAAACGTAAGGAGAGGCAACCTCTGCAAACACAAGCAAGCAACATCCGCACGCGGTCCCTCGAACCATTCGCAATGAAGTAACCTCTGGAAGTTGCACGAGCAAGTAGCAGCAGTAGGGACCACTACAACCAGTAATTCACTCCAGGTACAGTCAAACAACAGAATGAAGATGGGCACCCTTCCCAGGGGTACCCTTGCGACCTTGCCTCCTAGGTCCACCCTTGGCCACTTTCGGTGGCCGCGCTCCGCTCGAAAAGCGTCGATGTGGGCGTCCAGAACCCTTGCATCCTTATCGCGCGTGCTCATGATACGGGCCGGCTGGAGCCGACACCAGCAGCAAGAAGCCGCGACACAAGCACGATGATTGTCTTGCCCACCAGATTTAATTCACGGTTGCGCATTAGGCTAGTCAGCCGCAATGGCGGGACCAGAGCGTGCGAGATGGGTGGGCAGTGGTTGGAAGCGATGTCGTTGGCCAGGGGAATCGTGCAACGGATGGTGGATCTGGAAGCCATCGAGTAAATTGTTGGCCCCAGCACGTGCAAGACGAGCAGCAGCAGTTTTATAATGCATAAAAGGTTTGCTGACGTTGCGTCTATGCGGGGATGGGCGGGCTCAATGCAGCAGCTTGGCATGCACGCAGCAATTGCTGACGTTGCGCCCGACCCCACGACGTCTCCCTCGTGAAGGTTTGGGCCAACGATGAGAGGCACGAGGTCTTCGAGTGAGAGGTGGTTGACTCGTCAAGCCAAGGCGCAGCGCAGATGACCGACAGGCGAGCGCAGAAGAGGATTCTGCTGTTTCAGCGTGACTTCGTGCGCACGTATTGGGGCAATGCTTCCATACCCTTCCGCATGTTTTTAAGGTCAACTGGCAAACGGGCGGAAGTCGCGGCCGCCGACGCCTGGCACCGAACCCCATAGTCACGTCGTTCGTTCCTCTTTCATGCCACGGTGCATTTCATGAGTTTGCCTATCGAAGGGCGGCTTTTGTAGTGTCCCAGTTTGACTGGCGACCTTTTGATACGCACACCGGTCCAGGCCGAGTAAGGTGAAGTCTTTGGTCGCGCTCCTATTACCTCCGATGCGGCGCGCAGCCGGCCCTGCGGACTGGCGACCATGTCGCCTCTTCTCTATCTCCGCGGCGCATGCTCTTTTCACTTCCCGTGCCCCGTGCTCGAAACATTCTCGCCCTGGGGCTGGCCATTTAAGGAGGCGCAGTGGCTCCTTTTATTTCCCCTTCGGATTTTTTGTTATCGGGGGTTACTTTCTGAAGTTGCGCCGGCATCTTTGCAATCGGCTCGTTTTCCAATCCAGTTCCACAGTCCTTCACGTTATGGACGACGTTTCGTCAGGCTGCTCATGGACGTGTGTCCTGTAATTTTAGTTCTGCCGCCCTCCTCTCGCCCTGCTGTCTGATTATTGAGCTACCCGGTCATTGAATCACCTCTCTTGGCTCTTCAGGTTTTCTTGCTCCGAAGGTTGTTTCGTTTGGGGCTGCTGGCTCTCAGGTTACGTCGGCTCCTTTTTTCAGATACGAGCGCTCTCTTGCTATGAATCCCTCCTGCCCTAGTTTTGCAATGTTTCTGTCTCTGGAGGCTTATTTTTCCAGCTCTGCTGGCCTGTCTGGTTTTCGAGGTGTTTTTTTCGTTCTGCAGCAGCTGCCACGGAATGGTCAACATTGGCCCAAACGATTATGAGTTTGATCGATATGGATTCGCAGCGGCCCATGAGCCTTCTAAGTCGGTTGGCAAGGCCGCTAAGAGGCCTGAGAGTCTCCGAACAGGTCTTCTAGATGTCCGCAAGAGATTCCCAACATGCTCACGACTGATTCAAACTGATTCATGTCCTCTCTCTTTCGTCACTGAACTAGTCGATTGCTTCCACCTGCCAAGGAGGCCCGAAGACGCCATTATGACGATGTCCAATGGAGGAGGCGGAGAGGACAGATGATGAGGATGAGGATGATGATGATGATGTTGCTGATGATGATGGTCTTGATGCCGATGACGATGACAATGCTGATTGTTCGGAAGGGCGTTATGACACTACGGTGATCCCACCACTCCCTGATGACCACGAAGACGACACTAAGACGGCCCTTCGCACCCATAACGATCACAGGGTGACCCCGAGACGGCCCTCACGAGATCGTCAAGTGCGAGAAGGCCCCATCACCTTGTGGCTGGCCCTCAGGCTACCCCGCGACAACAGGCATCAAACCCATGACGATCCCAGAGCGATATCAGGACCCTAAGGCGATACCAATAGAACCCCAATGCGACCGTCCAGCGACCTCAAAATGACCCCAACGCGACCTCTGCATATGATTTCGAGGCGTTCCCAAGATGTTCCCGAATCGACCTGGTGGCCCTTTGGACGAATCCGAGGGAACCACCCTCTGACCCGCAGACAACCGACACGGCCGCGGATTGGTAAACGAGGCCTCGACGCTCAAGGCCGTAAAGTCCTTGGACCGCCGAGGGGGTTCCAGGCGACAGGTTCTGTCACTCTGCACCCCTCGTTCTCCATCTCTCCCTCCCCTTTTCCTGTTATGCGTTGTTTGTGGTGTTAGTGTTGTTGTCATATACGTATATGCACACACACATATATATATATATATATAAATGTATATATAAATATACATTTATATATAAATATATATATATATATATATATATATATGAACCTTCCAAGGAAACCTATGCGGAGTCCACCTGAGCGTGCGCGACGCCGTTGATGGATAACGTGAGTTTCATCCATCTTCCGTAGCTGTGTTGGCTTGCGACAGGCAGCGGAGTCACCGGGCGGTGCCGCCCGTCTGTGGCCGCTGCCGAGCCACTCTGTCTACTGAAAGACTGCCGCGCCGCGCGCGGCCACTTGCAGGGCCACGCTCAGACGACTGATTCTGATCAGCCTCGCTGGCAGCCTTGGTGGGGTGAGGGGAGCGAAGACCTGGCTGGGAGACGAGGATCCCGGGCGCGGGTCGCCCCTCTCCCGCTTTGTTGCTGGCGAGGAGCCCGATGGACCGGGCAGCCCCAGCTGCCGGCGGGTGGCCCTTCCCGAGAGGAGCCTGGCTCGACGCGGCGCTGAACGACGAGCTGGTGACGGGGCTGCCGCCGAGGGCTGGTGCACGGGTCCTGGCGCGGGTCTAGGACGACGCAGGGGCGCCGCAGGGCGTCAAGATGCTCGAGGTCGAGGTCGCCTACCAGGCGGACACTTTCGGCAGATTCATCAAGGCCCGGCAGGTGGGCGCCAGGGACCCGTACATCTCATGGTAGGCGGCCACCTGCGGGCAGCGGGGCGCGCGCCCCGCGGCCACGGTCTTCCACCTCTGCAGGTGCAGCGCCAACAAGTGCGGGACGGTCGCTCCAGCTGGCGCTGTGGTCGAGCACTTGGTCGTGTGGCAGGTAGTGGACCCCCGCGGCGTGGCCCGCGAGCGGGCGAAGCTCATCTGCCCAGCAGCGAATCCTGGGGCGCCTGTGCGGACCGACGCGCCCTCGGCCGAGCCACTGCCTGGAGAGGTCGGCGGCTGGCCGCTCGGGGATGGGAGCAACAAAGTCGAGGAGGAGCCTCGCGGGCCTCCGCACAAGTGCGCCCGCGAGGTGGAGGGCACCCAGACCCCGGGCGGTCCAGGAGAGGCGAGCCCACTCGACCAGGAGATCGCCGGGCTCGAGGAGACCGCCGAGGACCCCGAGCTCGAGGCGCGGCTGGCGCGGCTGGAGGGCAGGGCAGCTCGTGGTGTGCCGAGGCAGGGCACGCCCAAGAACGCTGCGCGCCCGGCAGGAGCCGTAGGCGAGCGCCTGGCACAGGAGGTTGCTGGCCGA